GTGCCAGGCAAGCACTCTACCGCTGAGCCACAACCCCAGTCCCACATCCCTAGCCCTTTTTATTTTTATTTTTTTTGAGATAGGGTCTCATTAAATTGTTTTATGCCTCAATAAGGTGCTAAGGCTGGCTTTGAACTTGCAATCCTCCTGCCTCAGCCTCCTGAGCCACTGGGATTAGAGGCATGCACCATCATGCCCAGCTCCCCTATTGATGTGCTTTTAGGATTTTTCTAATAATTTGCCATTATAAACAATTGAATGGGGTGCAGCGGGGCATATGTGCAGTGAGTATATAGGATACATTTTTAAAAGTGGAAGTCATAAAGTGTATGTACTTAAAAATGTAAGAACTATTTCCAAATTGCCTGTCCTATCTTTATTTCCAGCAGTATGAGCAAATATCTGTTTAGTCAAATTTTCACCAGTGAGGTATATTGCCAAATATTTTACTATGACCCACTTTGATAGTTTCATAGTTTTAATATATGTTTGGCTTGACAGTAAGGTTGAGCATGGATTCATATATTTAGGAGCCATCAAAACATCAATTTATTTTTTATTTTTTAGTATTGGGGATTGAATCCAGAGGCACTTAACCACTAAACCACATCCCCAGCCCTTTTTAAATATTTTATTTAGAGTCAAGGTCTTGCTGGGTTGCTTAGGGACTTGCTAAGTTGCTGAGGCTGGCTTTGAACTCACAATCCTCCTGCCTCAGTCTCCCAAGCTGCTGGGCCACTGCACCTGGCATAACATCAATTTACGATATATTTATGATAGCAGTTCTTGAGTTGCACAAGTATTTTTGTGTGTATGGTAATGGAAGACTGAATCCAGGGGTAGTCTACCACTAAGCCACACCCTAAGTCCTTTTTATTTTTAATTTTGAGATAAGGTTTTGCCAAGTTGCCCAGGCTGGCCTCTAACTTGCCATCCTCCTTTCTGAGCCTGTGAGTCACTGGGGTGTTTGCCACTATACCTGACTCAGTCCCACTCAAACTCCTTATACATGCTAAACACATGCTCTACAACTGAGTCACACTCTATTCTCTTCTTTAAATAAAATTTCTTTTTGTACTGGGGATTGAACACTTAGTGGCACTTCACCACTGAGTTATACCCCCAGCTGTCTTTGTTGTTGTTGTTTGGTTTTGGTTTTGAAACAGGATCTTGCTAAGTTGCTTAAGGTCTCACCAAATTGCTGAGGCTGGTCTTGAACTTGTGGTCCTCCTGTCTCAGCCTCCTGAGTCACTGGAATTACAGGTTTGCACCCCTGACCTTGTCTCCAGCCTCTTCCTTTTATTTATTTATTTTTTTAAAGATTGTTATTTTGGAGCTGGGGATATAGCTCAATTGGTAGAATGCTTGCCTTGCATGCATAAGGCCACCATGGGTTCAATCCCAAGCACCATAAAAAGAAAAAAAAAGATCGTTATTTATAAATAAATAATGCCTGTGCACATGC